CTACTTATAACATGTACCAATGACCAAGTCCGATTCTGTTTATTTTCAAATCAACAAATATGGACGTCGACAGAATCTTTAAAAATTAAATATCTCACCGAAATAAATATAAGTTTCTTTTATCTCCGTCACATTTCGCAGGTTTATTATAAATAAAGCTTTTTACAACACATCTTGGCATTTTCAACGTTAATTTCCAAAATTTAAGTCACTAAAATACCAAATTAATTCTCGTTGACACATTAAATTTGAATGGACAACGGTCTGACATGTAATGTTCTCAACTGTGATTGGTGGGTGTGAATCATTTTGAAATGGGATTATGCGCAGTGTCTTATGTTCCATCTAAGGTTTGTATAATCTAAGTGCATAACCAACAGAATGCTCAGGCCCGGCATTCCGTTGTTTAAAGCCTTCTGTAGGTTTTCTAAAAGTTTTTATGGATACTATTGTGGAAGGTCTTATTAGACTTATTATTTAGTGTAGGTTGTAAAATAAGTTGTATAGTCATAGATTGTAAAGACTTAATAAAAGATTTACTACATCCATAGTGAGTTGTCACAGATAGAATTAATTTTTTGTGAAGTATAAAAAATATGTGCTTTTAATACCTATATTAGAAATTACCAAAAGAAAATGATCGGTGTAAGTAGTTGCTAATTGTATTAAAAATAACCAAAAATACCTAACACGACGGTGAGACATTTGTTCAAAACATTTTGCAAATGAATATTTTCTTACGAAAGTCGAAATACGTGCTTTAAAACCTGTCAGTTCTATGCTATCACTTATTTGTTCCATCAACCTTGAAAACCTTAGATACACCTTCTTATAACGTTGCAACTTCTTCATCAGAGAGTGAATCACGCCCCAGAATGAAGAGAAGAAAATATCAATCAAAAAGATGGCAATTATACAGTACGTTAATCAACGCATCCAGCAAAACAAAGATGAGACGTTTAATTATATTTGTACGTGAGAGAAATAAAGAGATTAATTCGCAAATCGACTGTGTCTGCCATCTATATCAATAGTTGGATGGTGTGCTCTGTGTATTCAAATGGAATCCACTTATTCTATACCGTTTTCCTGAAGTCAGTGTGAGAAAGTTAACGTATTGTATACAGAGTAAAAGAAATGGTAAAAAAACTCAAGAAAAAAGATTGATGTTAGATATGCATTTAACTTTAGTTGGTGTCTGAATTACTCTAACATCTTCTTTATTTTGTATATCTATTTAAATAAATATTCATGTATCTTAACTTATTTAATAATTCCTATTTTATTTATGATTTTGTTCACCTCTTCCTTAATGTTAAATTATTAGAAAAAATTTAGTTAGTTAGAATTTTAGATCAGGGCCGACCCTGTGGTACTAGTACAAAATGGCAGCGACCTAATGCGAAGAAATAAATTTTTATAACAGTAGTGTGTGTCTTGCCTACTTAAAACAGCGCGGCAAATTTAATTTTAGTAATTGATATACGAATACCTATATTATACAATGTTAAATAATTTTGATCTGTGAATTGAAAAAAAAAAGAATATGAAAGAAGTAGCCGCAAAACGTAACCAAATCTGATAACAAATTATACAAGAAATAGCACAAAAGGCTCTCTCGATTCGAGACGATTTGTAATACTTTTTATGTAGGTATGTATAGACAATTCGTTTCCCGACCACTGGTAGAAGTTAGAACTTGCCACAAATTGTCAATTACATCTTGAGAAAAGGTCGATGACTGTTCTTTATTCCTGATTTTACTAGATAGGTACTCCATAGTGTTCGATCCTGCGTTTGACAGCTTTGTTATTTAATTCAATTTCCTCCGTATTTCGTTTTCGCCGTTTGCCATCAAATTAATTGATCAATTATAGGAGTAGTCCGCACTCAACTTCCAGTTTATTAGAAGAAAAAACGGTCTGGCATTAGACCGATGAGTATTGCTAGGTGGAAGATTATTTATATGAAATATATACAAATATTCTACTAATAAAAAGAGGCTTACGTCAAAACATAAATATAGATAAAATAAATGACCGATAAAACCAAAGGTAAACCAATTGAAACCTAAATTGTAAAATACTCTCAAGTAATAAAATTGCCTCAATCTTTTGAATTTGTAAATATCAATTTATCGTAAGTAATAAAATTTTACTACTTAACGCTTGAACAATAATGAAAAGTTTTGATTTTGACATTAACACTATATAGATTGCAATTTGCTGGGGCTTTTTTGCAAATTTCACTTTTAATATAAACACTTATCACACACTATAAGAAAAAAAAACAAATGAAATGCTCATAAGTAAGAAAAAATTCGAAATATAATTGATACAAATTAAAATATACCTAAACAGCGAACATGTAGCCCAATGTTGCCAACTGATGAACTGATTTTAAAACAAAATTGAAAAATGAATTGAAATCGGTTTTATAAAATCCTTATATAAATAGAGTATGATTACATATTGCTAGACACAAAATTCTCCGCTAAAAATCCGATGACGTAGCAAAATTCCGCTATTTCTGGCAACACTGAAAAAAGTTCTATTCATAGACACCTTTTACAAATTTCCTCCAGAGGGCGTATCACTTGAATCGCTTTCCAAGCCTATTCAGTCGCATTGGATGAAGGAGCAGAGATCTGAGGTACCCATCTTTCACGTGGAAGGAGTGGTGGTAGGTATCTGACAGGATATTACTAACCCAGTATTTACTTATTGCTATAAAAAAACCTCTGAAAAACTTATAGCAGGTCAGGCGGCAGTGGGGACCGAACCAACTACCTTGCGGGTAGATAAACATTACCACGAAATTCTCAAAGTCGTCCGACGGGTTTGATGTTTACCTCTCCACCTACCAAAAGACCTTCTAACTTCTGTTCCTGCTCTACTTACTGAACTAGTAGATAGACCATAGACCACAATTGTGAGATAGGGTGACGAAAACGTACCAGAGCCATTATCGGATACTGCGTCAATATTGTAGGCAAATTGTCGGATCCGTCATCTTTCTCTCATATCCTCAACTGTCACAAGTCATTCCCCTCTCCGCCGACACTCTAATACAATTTAAATAGGGAAAGTACCAAATATGACACATATTGAAAACGCCATTGTTGCGAGTACAGGGTTTAGTGCATCCCCTTATCTTTACATTTTACTTATTCTCAAGACTGTAATGGACTGCTTACCACAAAAGGTGCCGAATTTCTTCCTCGTTGTTGTGTAAATGAAATGCCGGCCATAATTAACATTTTTTAATACAAATTCTTGAACAGTTATATCACAAAATAAAATATACAATAGCTTTGTTCGCGGTAAGAATCCTGAACCGAATTATTACTAACAGTAACGATTTCGCAGGCGCAGTAGTTAAAAAGCCTTCGCGGAACAAAAAGAACTGAACTATTGGTTCTAACCTGCGTTCGCGGTAAAATAATTATTGGTTTTGAACCGCTTGTATATACCTGAAACACCGAGATACATTAGGAATTGGGCGCGCGGTAAAAATTCAGAATTGATTCGGGGGCATGCGCTCAAAGTATGAATTAGTAATTCTGAATCAGTTCAGGATTGTTACCGCGAACGAAGCTAATATTTACATACTGATACTGCACCACTATAGAAAATTTATCACTTTTGTGCCAACATTTCGGTGTTTTTTAGAAAATCATTTAAGAAATGTAAGATGGGGGCATGACTCTTCAGTGATTGGATTAAAGACCGGTAATGGCGAAGCTTTGTGATTTCTATCAGAGGATCTGAAGCTCTAATGCTCGTTAGCTGAAATAAGCGGGTTGAGATAGCGTCGCTTGCGTTGACACATCTTACCCAATCGTTTTAAAAATAAGTATTCACATAACTCATGTCGTATGTTGTGACTCGGATTGCATAAGGCCTCGAGAATTCAAACGTACAGAGTTGGTTTTTAAGATTTTTGTGCCCAGATACTAATTGTTGAAATTAAACATAGTTGCTCCATGTTTTAATATGTTGAATGTTTCAACATCCATTTTATGAAAAATTCAGCAAGATCCATTGCATTACTTTTGATTTTAGCGCCCTCTAGCGGGATAAAAACTATTACATATTGTAAAATGTGACACTTCATTTGAAATATAATGTTATTAACAATTTAATGTACAACATAAGTGAATGAAACAAACTTAAATTATTAAAAAATCTTATACAAACTTAAATCGCATTCAAACGATATAAAAAAATTTGTGCTACGTATTAAATTATTAATAAAATTAACCGATTAGCGTTTAACCAATGACGACGTGGAAACAATGATGATGATTGAATAAGTGAATGGGAACATAGCAGGACCTTCAAAATGTGGTACAATAAGTCAGGCTGCAGTGCCGTTACAATACAAACGGATCAGGATGTTAGCATGGGGGTCCAAAGTGTAAAAAAAAATAAAATTAAAAAAGTAAATCTGTTTAGGATTCATTAAAATAAAAATTTTTCAAAAAAAAACTCAAAAGAAAAAATCACAGGGATTTAGACCTGATAACCTTCGGTAGCCACGCAATTGGTCCATTTTAACGAAGTATTATCTTTGGAGTATTTGAGTATATTTTCTATTAATAATAGCCGTCCACCCTGACACGCGCTGTGTTTTCAGAACTTCAGTGGTTCACTAGTAAGTAGGTAACTAACTTTTAGATACTGAAATATGGTGATCAGCTGATCAGAACGAGTAGGTATACTGTAAAATAAGGGAAACCGGCCTCACAAGTCAAGGACGTATGTGTAGTATCATAATTTCAACCTTCTACTTTTTATCTTCCAATCAGTCAATCCGTTTCTAATTTATTTTGAAAGTGGGATAGCAGAAGATAAAAGGTTAACAACGTGAAGCAACCTTTCAACGTACCGTTATTACGTTATGTAACGTTGCTAGGAACATAAATATAATTTATATAATAAAGTCTGTCCACCCGACATCTCCTATTAAGGAAATTAAAAAAACAAACGTCTTACATGTGCCATTTTTATTATAATATTACACATTTTAATTTCCTGTGCAGTACACCAGCCACCTACCACCAATTGGTGTACTATTCCGGAAACAAATAAATAAATTCAAACGAATGAGAAAATAGAAGTTCATACAAAACTGATAATTAATAAATCAAAAAAACTAGGAACACAGTAACGTAAAATTTTAACTTTCAATACAATAGATGTAACTGTAACAATAAAGTACTAGTTCACTTGTTGAGACTGAAATTATGTTATATGAACTTTGTTCCTATGAAAAGAAAAAGAAATTTTGAATTATTGTTACATCTAAGTATGTTACACTTTTACCTCATTTATCTGCAAATTATAGAAGTAAAAATTATTGTTATTTATCGTTTTAATGTTACTACAAGAAATCGTGGATCTTAGGAAGCAAAAGAGACTAAACAACCGTAAAGGTTTATTAAAAACAGTTAACAAATTATAATTCCACAATTATAACAGCAATTACAGTAAAATTAATAGAGAACGTTACCAATAAAACATGTTGATAGAAACACTTTTACCACTCAACATAACTGAGCCATTATACACATTCATGTGTTTCGAATAAGAAAAGAGCAATAACACATTAAAGGGATCATGAAAACATGATTTTTACTATAATTCTTGATTTTAAACTACATATTGAGAGTATACTAAACCGTTTTTGAGTGTTCCAATTTTGAAAAAAAAAATAGTTTGAAGGTTCTATTAGGCCTTTTTGAGACGCAAATTTAGAAACTAATTCGTTCGAGTAAATCCAAGACAATTTGCAAGCAAATGCCAAGTGGCAAACTCATATGTTACAAGCTCATTTGAAAAGGTAGGTATTTTATTAAAAAATATTTTTCAATAGCATCTATTTTACGAACGAATTTAGTTTACAAGAAATTGCTACAGAGTGATCAAGAACCCATTTTTTTTAGTAGTGAATAGAATTTTCAATTTATACGGTAAATATGAATGTGCTTATTTTAATGTAGTCACTATGTTTAGTATCTTTTTAGCTTGAATCATTAAAAAAAGTGAAAACTACAACTGGCAAAATTTTTGACAATAGAAAATTGGTCGATGAGTGACAGCTTATTTTTTGATAAATTTGTAATAAATATTATTTACCTATAAAATGAAGCAAGTAACTGAAAGTTCCAAGGTTATTCCTTAAAATATTTTTGTATCTAACACTCTTAGTATATTTGTATCATTAATAAGCATTTAGATAAAGTAAAATGAAAAATATTATGTTTTATATTGCAAAAGTGATACTTATAAAAACTTTATACTTGATGTTTAAGTACTTTGAAGAATATACTTGGTACTTTATTCTTACAGTATATTTGAGTCAAGGTGTGGCATATAAAATCCGTGGCATTTAAAATAAACAGTCATCCACCAACACACAAACAAGAAACGTAATTTGGTCTAACAAGCGAACTGATAATGCAAACAAACTATCTATGAAAATTTGGATCACCGTCTCCCCTAGGCTTATGATCCTGACTGGCACGATTAGCTTCTGCTCTCCGCTTAGCATTTTGTGCATCACTCCTAGCTCTTCCTCGCAACACTGTACTGCTCTGACGTGGTACTGGCCTTGAACTGGGATCCTCTTCTGACAGCAGGTCTTGGCGACTAGATTCGACTAATTTTAATAATGACTTAAGGCGAGACTGCTGTACTGGGGAATCCCGGTCTCCTTCACCGTCGATTCCACGAACATGCTCGGCAGAAGCTACTACCAATTCTTGCACAAATCTACTGCGCTCTTGTCTTACCTGATCGGAGGCCGTTTGAAGGGAAAGCTCTTCCAGTAAGCCTTGAATAATAATATTAAAAAAAAGAATATTATAAGCCGTACTTTAATCAAATATATATACTAACATAAATGTCTAACTGGTACAATACTTGAATTCAGAACCTTTAAATTGCTGCCCTGACAATAATTTCCAACGGAAAAATATATTTATTATTCAAGAATGGTTCAAAGAATTTCAACACACTCCCCCAGTTGTCGTAAGGCGTAAGTTTTGTGGTTATATCACGCCTAAATACGAAGGATGTGTCATTTACCTGTTAACAAAAACTGTGACTGTTGTGTTGGAGCTACGGGTGTGTTTGCAGCTGGTTGCACTAGAACTGGCGAGGCATTTAGCATCATAGTTGATGTTCCACAGTTAGAAGTGTTTGGTTCTCTAAGTGTTTGATTTTGAGTTTGTCTTCGCGGGTAACGTTCTAAGTGCTGCCTAGCAGCGTTCACTTGTTGCCTCTCTAATTGTAGCTGCATCTGCAGCTGTTGCAACTGGGTGGGGGTACTGCTATTTGTGTTGCTAGCAGAACGCCTGACACCTTTAAACAAAAGCCGTATTAACAAAACGGAGTGATAAAATTAGAATTGCAGAAGAAACATAGGTGATAAAATTAATTTTACAAAAATTACTTTGCGAGTTTGGAGAATAGTTTATTTAGTCTAGACCAGGATCTCCAAACTAGACTAAGCGCCACACTGATCCTCCACTAATGCCCATGGGCCTAACTCAGCATACTGTAGTTTTGAATTACTCACAAATTTTTTTACTAGTAATATTATGAGCATTATTATTACTTGAAGCTATGTGCGTTTTGTATGGATTTGTATAAATATGGAATAAATAGTGAGTGATATCGTCAGTTAAGAAGAATACTATCCAAGTCCTTTTCTATTAGTTTTATGCCATATAACGAAGAAAATTCTATGCAATTTTTGTTCCCCATACGGCTTCTTAGGACATTGGATAGTATTGCACAAGCTAGAATTAAATAGGACTTGAGAGATATTATGTCAATAACTTTTATTTAAAAAAAATGGACATGGAATAGTTTAAATGGACATAGGATAGTTTTCTACTCATCCCACGATATTTAGAGCAATGAAGATATCAATAATTCGTGATTGAGGAAGATTATGCTGCATACAGAAATCAGAGCAATAAACTTAAAAACTTATTGGCTGTGTCTAGAAAAGATTATGAAGCGGCGAAAAGAACTAGAGGAGACTTAATAGAAATTTACAAGTAGACCAGCGAATATTACACCTGTGATCACATCTTCCAGGCCAGCACATCAAGAACCTTGAGAGGTCACTCGAAGAAATTAGATAAAGAAAAGTGTAATAAACAGCAAAGAAAAAATTTCGTAACAAACAGAATTGTATGTCTGTGGAATGGTCTCCAGCAACATACAGTCTCAGCCCAGAACACAAACCAGTTCAAGGGGAGAGTGGGTATAGATCTCGAAGAAAGAAAAAATAGTTTTATTCATTATAGTTTATAGTGCATTGGATTTTAACTGTCATGTAGTGATTTAGAATAATGTCACTAACTAAAGGAGCAGCATCATCAACTATGTCACTTGCCTGTTCTAAACAACAATAATAATAATATGGCAATGTGTAATGATTTGCAATAAAATAATATCAGTCCTCAAATAATACAATATAAAACGTCATTATGAGACTAAACATTCTCATAATTACTCCAAATTTATAAGAACCCTTTAATAGCGAAAAATGGAAAACAATTTCTGTAGATTGCGGCAAGAGAAGAAGTGTGTCCAGAAAAAGCAATGCAAAGATCTATCAAAGGGCACACCACATCGAAAGGTAACTGTCTTACTGATTCACTAGCCAAGAAGGCAGCCAACCAAATACTTTTTGGACCTGGCCTCTCTATTGGACTAGCAATTCAAGGAAAGATGGGATGAAACAAGAGACAGAATCTACGCCTGATCACAGGCATTCTGACTGGTCATTGCCAAATACAGAAGCATCTCCATATCAAGAGGCTGTCAGAATCCGCACTCTGCAGGGGGTGCGAACAAGAAGACTATTGAGCAATTATTTACTATTTCCCAATGCTCTCATTTATTTGTGTTCGGTGAGTAGCTAACACCGGCCGATATAAGAGAGCACTTCTTGACGTCGTTGTCAACTACATTAAGTCTGTAAGCTATCAGATACAGATACTGTTCAAGTGATACTTTTTATCTGAGGATACATAAAAATTGTGAAGTGTATGAAGAGCTTTTTGGCGTTGATATCGTTCAGGGCCAGTCATGTCAGGTTTTAATTATATCGGATCACAGAGAAAGGGGAAAATTACTTACCATATATTATTATATTAGTTTCGGAAACGTTCTAATGCGCTTTTTTAAGCTCCGAACAATAATCGAAAAATAACATTATTTCTAAAAGGTAAAAATAAAAGTTTTTTCAGTCCATCCGGGATGTGATTTTCCCACGGGCTAATTTACAAATATGTTTTGTGGATCACTCCATACTTATCTATGCGAAACAACATTTCCATAATTATCTATTTGATACAACTTCTCTAAAATAAAATATAAAAAAAATATTTACAGATCCAAGTTAATTGATAAACATTTGAAATCGCTGCTAATAAAAATTATAATTTCCGCTATTAAACTAGATACGCAACGGCCAACAAGTGTCAGTGGAAAGTTACAGCTACATAAATCTGATTAATCATTATTATATTGTTTAATATACACAATATGGTTGTCATCAGATTGGTACATGTTTTTTTACTGGTGTTATACATTGCAATATTATATTAAATGTGAATTTTTAGATATATGTTGTGATGTCCCTGACACCAATAAAGAATTTGATTTGATTAATTTCATTATGTAAATTTCCTACATCACCACTTATTTTAAGTTTTTAAGATAAATATAAATTTTATTATAGTTAAAATGTCCAATTTCATTATATATGTCAGTTATTGCGCTTCTTGATTAATTTGTAATTTTTACAAATAAAAAATAAGTACTTTTATTTAAAAAAGCTCTGCTCCTGAAAATATAAACAATAATAAAAATGGCTAAAGAAATTAATGTTTACAGTATAAACAGTGGAAGATTGCGGACCGGTGTTGGCCTGCGGGCTGTAGTGTGGAGACCCCTGATCTAGACGATTGTCCACATTAATATAAAAATCGCTAATTTACGGAAATGTAAAAAAACAGCCAATTCTAACAAAAATAATATAAATTATAAAAAAAAAATATATAAAAATGTTTAAAGATTATAAAAATTATTTTTATTTTATTGCCAGAAAGAAACTATATTTTTGTAGTTAATAGAATGAAAATAAAATATAAATAGCATTAATTAGCCACAAGCCATTTCCTACATCTCAGTGACGGCGATGAGAGCTGCAATTTAACACATGCTTGTTCCACATTCACATGCAAATTAGTATCAATATCTTATTTACCATCACCAATAACTAGATTTGTAAAGTTGACTTGGAGGTCAGACAATTTGGTAGCTTACCTGACAGTTGAGACAGAAGCTCAGCAATCGGATCTACGGAGTCCCTTGAAGAAGGAGAGAGGGATGAAAAACCCCCAGAACTAAAAACACTAAAGCAAATATCTTTATGGAACAATATTTTCTTTTGAAACTTATCTCGGCAAAAAACCACCTACTTGCTCAAAATTAATTTCATGAAATACAGAAGTACAAATACATGTATCAGTTTATTATCCAGGAGATTGTCCATAATCATTTTTTGAGAAAAATTATATTTTATATGTTTTAAAATTTTTCAATCTACAGGTGTCTCATTAATAATGGGACAGAGAACAACTGAAAAATGTCGATTAAAAATAAGAATAAATGAAACATGCTTAGGTAAAATGTTGACTCTTTTCGAAATACAGGGTGTTAAAGTTAAAAATTCAAATATTACTATTGGCTGTATTTTTTTATTACTCACTATAATTTTATTAAATTCGGCAAACATTTTTTGTCATAAGATACACCTATCAGCAAAAAATCAATTACATAAACTTTGCCCAAGTAAATTTTTAGATAGTGACGTAACATTCAGAAGGAATTAAGGTGTTACTTACCCATGCCGCACGCCACTGGCAAAGATTATTCAACTGATTTTTTGTTGGTAGTTGTATTTTATGACTCAAAAACAAATTTAAAAAAGTATACTGAGTAATACAAAAATAATACAAGTCATTAATAATTTTTGAATTTTCAACTTTAACCCTGTATTTCATAAACGAGTAACATTTTACCTAAGCTTGTTTCATTTAATCCTATTTTTAATCAGAGAATCTTCAATTGTTCCCATTCTCAATGAGACACCCTGTATAACAGACTGAGAGAGAATATTCAAATATGTTAATTAAAAATATTAATGTAGGTAGGTACACTCTAATTTACTTACTTTGGCATAATAATTATTATTTTTCATCTTTATTGTGATAATGGTTTAAAGATGTTATTTCTTTTATTAAAGGTTAAATCTATAATTGTATCTATTGTCAACATTTGATGTATACTTGAAATTTGGAGAACAATGCCATTATAAAGGGTTTACCACCAAGTCTACTGTAGTTTTAATGTACTCTTAGCTTTATTTTTAATTAGGCACTGGAGATTTGGAAAGAAGGCTTTATAAATGCTATCTGTTCTTAATAAAAATAGATCAATTAATATAACAGAGTATCTTAAATTCTATACATAAAATTTTTTAATCTATCAATAGTTTTCTTTTGTTTTATCTTATATTTTACCTTATAGAAATTTGCTAATTCTAAATTATGTGGTACTACTAATCAAAAGTAGATAAATAATATTAAAAAAGACATGGTAGCAATAAATCTGTTTTCATGAAAATGTACAACTGTAATAGTAAAAATTGAATGATTGATGAAGAAAATGGAGCAAAAAGGCTACACATTCTAAAAAAATTATATTTATTGAATTTTAATTTGCCAAATCTTCCTTATTTAAATGTTCACTGCAGTGATTCAAAAATAAGGTGTTTTGTTTGCAAAAATTTGTCTTCTGAACAATTTTTTCTAAACTCTTCTTTATCTGATAATTAACCATTTATAAAACTTTAGAAAACATTTTTTATTTAATCCCAATTTTCATATATAAGTATATCCTCACTACAAGTAAAAATAAAATCTGGGCATTTAAAATTAGGTGACATACCTAAAATGCATATTGCTTCTTCTAGGTCTTAAGGCTGTGGCTGCTCCACGACCAATGTGGGTAGCACTATGTGTATTATGAGGAATGCGTCTCACATTATGTCTTGTTCCTACTGGCTCATCAAGAAAAGAGATCAAGTCTCTGGGACCAGTACGATGCTCCAAAGTTAGATGACCAGCAAAATCATCAGTCATCAAATTTGGATCACCCCCTGGCATAGCGGCACACAGGGGACACACCTAAAATATATTAAATATAACAAGATCATTTTAAAATGCAAATAAACAAATAAAGTTAAGAGCAAATATGAGTCTGAAATTACAAAAAATATAAAATTATCATCAAAAATACATATAATATTTAACGATTTTTATTGATAAGCTGCAGGGTACCTACAACTTCAAAATTGGTGTCCTGATGGTCCGAAGTAACATGCTCTTGTAAGGTAATATCAGTAAACCCCATACGTGAGCAATATGGACATGTATATGACTGAGGCAATTCTAGACTAGTAAGAGCTTCACCTCCATAATATAATTCTACAAAAAAGATATGATCAGTACACATACAGTAGATCAAGTATAATTAAACATGAACACCAGCAATAAAATGGATAATCTAGAATTATTTATGTGCAAATATTTTTAATTTATAGAAGAATGTATCTAAATCCTGAATTGTACTTGCAAATAACTGTTTTAACATTGAAAATATATCAACAAATAGAATGTGTGGTCAATATATAGTTAATCATATTTAGATCATTCTTGAAATTTTTTACTTGTAAATGATCATATGTTACTCATACTAAAAAATGTATGACTTGTCAGATTTATTATTACTTACTAGGTACTCTATTATCAATAAAAAAAAAAAAAATTAAATAGTATGTGTAAGATATAAGGAATGTCTCTTTATCAACACCTTGTTCAGAAATTTTTCTTACACTAATGTAAATATATCAATGTATTATTTAAAGAAAAAGGATAACTTACCAAAATCGGATCTGGTAAGGATACATTGCATAGGATGATCAGTTGTGTGCCTAGTATTGGTGGCCCCTGCTTCGTAACAAGCAGCACATAGATCATAGTCATAACAAACAAGGCATTTATATCTACGGCCTCTAAAGTTGCTTTTTAAACATGAATCACAGCTAACACCTACAAAAATTTGATTAGTTCTCTTCAACAATGAGTATTGTAAAATGTTACCTTCGTGACGGCTCATGACTTTTATTTTTAAAGCTCTATCAGTACGAGTAATGGAGTAATAAATTAAATTAATATCAAAAATTGACCTATTGCATTCCAATAAAAAACACAATCATTTTCATTGCTGTAAACGTTGCTTTTTGCTTCAGTCTTTTTGGTACAAATTTTTCGTAATAAATTGTCACTTTGTTAACTTCTGTCGCTTGCTTGTCACAAAAATTAGGTTAACTACATTGCGTTCGGTCTGCCAAGTTCCTTTAACTCCTTTAACACTTTTAACTCCAAACGACCCTTTTAGCGTTAGGTTTAGTCCGATTAGTGACAGTTTAACACGCTTAAATGTCATTTAAAAGCACCCTAAAATTTGTCCCGCTCCAGCCTCCAGCCCCTGACTGACCGAACTCGCCTCTAGGGTGCGATCGGTTATTGTATCTCCGAGCAAATACTTCTCTAGAGGAAGCGTGTATCGACTTTGTAAGAGTTTGTTATGTTCGAAATATCTAAAAAAGTAAAACGCTTCAGGTTTGCCAAATGTTCAAAAATCTAAGAATGTCTAATTTAAACGCCAACTCAAAGTAGAAAAAAATTATTGGGTCCTATGATTGAACGTTTATGTTATCCATAACGTACATGTTAGGTCGAATTTTAACAGTAACGAAGCAAATTTGTATGATGGAAACCTGTTAAATTAGAACATAACAGGCGGAAAATAACAGTAATGTGTTATGAAAGGCTTTACATCATACGAATTTGTCTCTTTGCTGTTAAAACTCGGCCTAACATATACGTTACGGATAACGTAAACGTTCAATCATAGCACCCATTAGAAAAATTGATTGAACATGATCTGGTTTTTAAATAAACTGAGTCAAGTCTCTTGAACCTTAAACAGTCACACCGAAAGAGACACTGTGGCAACATGTAACGCTTGTACTGTTGGTTGGACATATATCATGCAACCAATGTTTATGTAAACAAGACCTGTCTATCCTACACATGGTCGAATTTAACAATGACACATGACACCTGTCACCTGTTGTTGTCAATTGTCACTCTTGTCTTGTGCTCTAAAGTATTTAACCTTGGACTTTGATTTTAATCTTCGCCTTTTTTAATGAAAAAAAGTACCAAATATTGAAATATTTATTCCATTGCTAACAGTATAATGGAGCGATAATCTTTGATACAATTTGGTATATTCGTTTTGAAATACCTCAAATTCAGGTCGACTCTTTTGTGTACCTATATGTGGTATTGTGATTTGTATGTTTTTAATGTACTACGTTTCAACGCTTTTTTAACGTTAAATTCGTCAAAATATATTAATACATCAATTCTCAAGCCTGTGATATAGAAATACAAATAATAAAATGCCTTCCAAACAAAGAAAAATTGCTGTAATGGGATACAGGTCAGTTGGTAAGTATTTTTGATAAAAATAAACTTAAATCCTTGTTTGTAATGTTGTTTTTGCAGGTAAATCGTCACTTAGTATACAGTTTGTTGAAGGACAGTTTGTAGATTCCTATGACCCTACTATCGAAAATAGTAAGAGATTTTAAAAGTGTCTGCCTTGTATAAATCTTCATATTTTTTAGCATTTACTAAATCAACACGAATAAATTCACAAGATTATGAACTAAAATTAGTAGATACAGCAGGCCAAGATGAATATTCCATATTTCCATCCCAATATAGTATAGATGTACATGGATATGTATTGGTATACAGTATAACAAGTACAAAATCGTTTAATGTAGTAAAATCAATTTACGAAAAATTATTAGATATAACTGGAAAAGAACAGTAAGTTCAACCATGAGTAATAAATTTAACTTATCTATCAGAAACTAAAATAATTTATAATATGCTTTTAAATTATGATCTATCAACTAAAATAAAAAGAATTATTTTGGGAAAGTGAAATATTATTCTCAACTTTGGTTCTGAATTCTAATGTTATTTTACTGTCAAGTAATAGTCCCTCATCTGACTGCAAAAAGTGGTATGTCATGTTTTTTGCTTTCTATTTGTAGTTATGTAGGAGGGGGTCCAGGTGGTTGTCTTGTAACCAGTCAAATTCAAACTAAAGTTGCTTGTAAGTGGATTTATTCATTTTTGCTGACACTAAAATAAAATGCCTTTTAAACAGCTATAACAATAGAAAAATCCCTTTACAAGCATTTTCTGTAGTCTGGTTTTACTACTTCCAGTATAGGGATTTTAGCCATGTGACTGGATATTTGTGTTTTTTGTGAATCTAAGATGGTATTGCAAGCATTTTTTGTGTGGGTGAAAGGGTTGATATGCAACCTGATGAAAAGTGACCTGTTTTGTGAAATAGGTATAAAATCAAACCAAAATTTGAAAAGTGGTTTAATTGCTCTCAAAATGTTTGTATGACTCACAAATAAGAGTATTGCCCTTGCAAGCATTTTTTTATTCAGTAGTTTTGCCCCATTTGCCATAAAATAGACTAATTTGACATTATTTTCTTGAAAACATGGACAGGCGTGTAACTACAGGGGGGCAGCTTAATTTCATTTAAAATTATCATCCATGAAGTTGTAAAATAGTAAAAAAAGCATGATTAAATATTAATTTAAGTTTAGATCAATGGAAAAAATTCTCACTATGACTTTCCTTCTGAGGCCTATAACTCAGTAATTAAGGCTTTTACAAACAAATACTAGAAGTTAAAAAAATTAAAAACATATGTAAGATTTCAGTGGTGTCCTGTTTTAAACTGAATTTTAATGTCTAGAAATGTAGCTGTTCAAAGGGGTGTGGAAACCTAAAAACTTACAAAAATAAAACAGTTTTAAACACCACTTCATTTTATTGGTCACTGTATACTAATCTCCTGTGTACATTTTTATAAAAATATGAGCACAAAATCACTTGTAAAATTTCTACCTTAATGCCCTGTAACTTTTTTTACTATCCATTTTTATATAAGCAAGTTAGCTTAAATCAAGTTATTTTTGACACCAGAAACTATGGTTAACTTTACTGTACGTCCTTTTGTTACACCCTGTATATTATTCAGTTTTTATTTGTTTATTTATGTATATTAAAAATTACTTTGTAATTATTTTTAAAAATATTAGAACGATATAATCAAAGAATTTGGTATTGTGCCTTTTAGAATCGGAGTCAACATTTGTTTTACTTTTTTAAAGAAATTCCTACACCAGAAGTATCAAAATTGGTTGAAAGAAAATGCTTGCAGAAAAAAAACATACTTTGAATTTAACAGGTTAAACGACAGCTCCCATCACACGGACATAGTACAAGTTGTTCACCCACCCTTTCCTGTACACAATTACAAATAGTAATCAAAAAATAACATGCAGTCAGATGAGAGACTATAATAATTGAATTAAAAACTTAAAATCTATAGTAATAGTATAAAATAAAAATATATTTCCAATATATATTAACAGCATGGATTTACTGCCTCTTAATATAGATGACTTGGTTTATTTTTTAGTGTACCTGTTGTTTTGGTAGGAAATAAAACTGATTTGCATTTAGAAAGGACAATAACTACTGAGGAAGGTAAAAAGTTAGCAGATGAATGGAGAGCAATATTTCTAGAAACTTCTGCCAAACAGAATGCAGTAAGTATTATTTTTTCAATAATTTTAGAATAATGCAGGATAATTCAAAATAACATGTACATGTATATTTGAAATAAATAGTTAATGATATGGAAAATATATAGTTTCTTATTTTCAGTCCGTATCAGACATCTTTCATGTTCTATTGATGGAAATTGAAAAAGCAGATGGAAATGTAAATGAAAAATCAAACTGTGCAGTTTGTTAATGATTGTAGAAAAACTAGTCTGAGTTTATTAAATGTTGAATCATTTAAGTGTCATTGACCATTTATATGATAAGAGTACCTTGTCATTTAAAAGTCTATTTAAATGCATATTATTATTTTTGTTTTGTTACCTATAGAGTTTACTTAAAATATGGAGAAGCACAACCTTATCATAAGATGGCCAATGGATAATTTGTAAAGCCTTTTCTTCACAAATATATGCGCAAAAATTTTATTGTACATAAAGCTAATTAATTATTTTTGTCCCATATATATATAAATGTATTTACACTAGGTGTTTATAATTAGATGTGTTTTAAATACGTAAACTAAATTAAAGCAAATAATTATCTAAAAATTACAATTCGAAATTAACATTTAGGAATTTATTAAAATAGATTGAAATTATATAAATAAATCAAGTCCTGGAACCACTGCTAAAAACTGGACACAGTGGAGGAAAATATATATGTGTGTATTTTTTATTTATTTAGACTGTATCTCCTATATATTTTTTAAATAATATATATTAGTGTATATAAAAACTACATTAATGGAAATTAATTTTTCAAAATTAAGCCACTGATTCTCTACTGGTTTTTGGTCTTCATTCAATTCATATATATCCGTTTACATATCAGTAGTAATACAAATTTGCTTTATTCAAAGCAATGTTTAGTTTATACAAAGATTTAAACACATGCAATTAAAAACACCATTTATCAGAGGCGGCTCATGGCCTAGTTTACGAGGAGGCTACGAAGGCTACTTTTGAAAGCCACAAACTGTATACTTAATACAAATTTATATTTCTATTAGAATACAAAAAAAAATATTACATTGTATTCTAATAGAAATATATATTTGTATTAAGTAAATAGGGTGTGCCAGCCTCCTAGTAGACAAGGCCACGAGCCGTCACTGCCATTTATGTTAACTGATTTTAGTATGTAAAAAGTTATGTGATAAATTTATTTTACAAAAACCCCAGTAAATATGTTTGTCCTATTTATTGTTCGTTGTATGTATGTTAATTATTTGTTAAGTAGGAAAGTACTTCACATTTACAGAATTAAAAAAATGTCATTAGGCAAATACAAATTAAATTTTACATTTTTTTAAGATGCTGATTTGTGGTACGTATTTTGTATACTTAAAAATTATTATTTTTTAAGAATGAAATACATTTAAATCGAAATTTGTGAAAGAAGGTTGACTAATTTTAATGAGCTATGAAAAAATACATGTTTGTTAGTACTTTTAACTTTCATATTACGATACTGAAATATGAAATAACTAACAAACATGTATTTTTTCATAGCTCATTAAAATTAGTCAACCTTTCAATAATACCCTATATATTTGAAAACATATTGTTTTATTATTTCGGTTTAAAATTATTTTTCAATTTGGATTTTCTTATTAAAAAGTATAGTCTGTATATATCAATATTTTAAAGACAGTTCTATACAATATTTCTACACTTATATTTATACATTTTTCTACAAATAGATTATGAGTGTTGGATTTTTATATTTAATTATGTTTACGTTAAGGATAAAAAGACAGGCGTTTCTTCTGTTCTGCAAATAAAAATTTTAGATATTCAAGTGAGCGGGTTCTACTCTGTTAAGTGTATGCACTTTTCTAAGATGTAAACTACAGAGTTTATAATATCATTGTATATTTAACCCTACTTTATACTGCGAGGCAAAAGAAATTAAAAAATATGTTAATTTTCATCCATAATTTATTGTTGTTGGTAAACTTTTTAAATAGTTTAAAAAGACTTTGCCTTGAAGCACAATCTGCATATCTTCTTATTGTTGTAAGTAATATCATTAATATCAATTGCGATCAAGTTGCACGTACCCCTTTCTATTTTATCTAAAAAATACAAATTGTTTAAAATGTAGATTCCATTGTGCCATAAATAACAAAGTAACAGAGTAGTAGTGTATTTTTTATTTATATTCTGTTATTAAATGCAGTTTTTGATTCGGAGAAATTAGCCTTAAAATGAAGTGTATGTTTTCCAAGCATACAAGAGAAAATATAAAAAAACATTGCACTTCGGTTTTTATTGGAAATTAATTTCAATATTGTCGTTTTAAATATCCTCTTTGATTTGCGAATTTTTATTCGAACAGCTCTAATTTTTGATCATTTTGATCAAAAGTAAAATATGTACTATTAGTATATCAGGTAACTAAATAAGTTCGTGCCGTTTTTATGATAAATAATAAAAATTTATTACATATACATAATACACCATTATTCCTTGAAGTAAATTATTATCGTCACACTCAGAGGAGCTCTTGGAAAGTAGTCCCAATTTTTGTATGCAGCTTTTACATTCTACATTACATAACTGGTTTTGATCTGCCTGTCTTATACAGTTGTAAAGAGACAAAAAATGATGGTAATCACTTAGCCAAATGCCAGGAGAATAAGGATGGTGGGGTACAGTTACCCAGCAAGTTTATAATTTTTTTCCCGAGCCACTTTTGAACAATGCTACGGTGGTCTGGGGAAAAAATACTGGAATAGTGATACCAGAAACAATTCTGAACTTGTATGAGAAACGCCTTATTTTCCCAAACGATTACTATCTTTTTTGTTTCTTTATATGAGGCATAGACAGTTCAAAATCCAATTCAATACCGAATGCATACAAAATAATTGGTTGTTGAATGTGATGGTACCTAAACATTTCGAGGAATGCTTCTTATTTTTTACAACCAAAAACAGCATGAAGTTATTGTATTACCTCATAGCTTCATAACTATAATGACGCTATAGGTATATGCACAGTCTGGAACATTGCATATTAGCCAGTTTATGGCAACAGCCATTTAGTTTCTAATTTGACTGCAAAAAGTGGAACATACTGTTTTTTGCTTGCTATTTGTAGTTGTGTACAGGGGTGAACAACATGTACTATGTCCCGGTGTGGGAGCTGTCGTGTAACCTGTCAAATTAAAAATAATGTTTATCAATGGGCTTTTTCCGTTTTTGCTGGCAATGAAATAATTTACTTCTGGACATCTATAACAATAAAGAAATCACGTTGCAAGCATTTTTTTGTCGTCTAGATTTTCTACTTTCGGTGTAAGTGTAGGAATTTCTCTAAATCGATGGTATCAATACCGGACGATAGAAAATGCTTGCAAAGGGATTTTTTATTGTTAAAAATGTCTGGAAGCAAATTATTTCATTGCCAGCAAAAACCGAAAAAGCTTATCGATAAGAAACATTATTTTTATTTTGAAAGATTACATGACCGCTCCCACACCGTGACATAGTACATATTGTTCACCCCCTTGGTGCTTCTCCCCTCTACCAACTACAAGGAGCAAGCAGAAAACACATCACCCTTTTTTGCAGTCAGATGGGGGACTAAATCGGATATAACTCTTGTAGCAAATCTTTGATGTTCCAGGTACACATCCAGGGTGATTGAAAACGCTTTTCCCACCATATATCTTAGTATCATTTAGAAACGTTGAAGCTAAACAGTGAACTATTTACTACTACTACTTATTTACTACTTCCTACAATAGATAAGTTAGAATATAAATTCCAATCTTGATCATCTTTATTCGTCTGTTCATTTTTGATATTTCCCAATTTTGTTTTCCACTTTTTTGAATAGTGAGAGTAAACGTACCATTTTGGAAGGCGAGACCGACGACAGCACTTTTAACTACTCGGTCTCGCCTTTCCAAATGTTAACCTTAAGAGTATTCTAATATGTTCACATACGTATGCACTTATTACGTAACATCAATAAAATTAATATTAGTAACAAGGAAATACAAAAAATCCATTAAGTTATTAAAACAAATTAACTGCGCAGGGTGGTGTAAACAAGTGTGAAAGCTTTGTATTAGTATTTCTGTTTAAATGTGTCCCATCCTGTATATATATATCCAATGTGTAAATATAACGCCTAACTATTTTTAAGAACAAAACTGCAAAAAAGGAATAACACTGTGGACGTTTGTTTAATACTAATCTGTAAGTAAAGGTATGTTTAGTATGACAATTATTTATATTTGTAAAAAGTATACTTAATAAAAATGAGTATAAAAATAGTTGTAAATTATTGAACTTATCAAAAATGTAACACCGTTCCGGAAACACTCTCAGGACCCAGCTAAGCTCCGCTGCACTAATATGCCATTTATTCGTCTTCGGGTGCAGAAAAGGCAAAATTAAATGCAATAGCCGTTTTCAACGGTCAAATCTATTAAAAAGCAATTTCCGCTAAATAGCGGATTTGCACACTAACAAAATTTGAAATTGACGATGCTGCTATAAAAATCTGATCAATTCTACTTAAATTATGCATCATCCGAAATAAGCAGTGTGTATAGACATGCGGTATTTACCAAATATCTTTATCATCGCTACATTTTATAAAAGAAAACCCATTCCACGTTCTAAATTGAATATTTTCGATCCACATATTCCTTGTCATTCTCCATTTTCTATATGAAAGGAAAGATTTGCATGAAAAAGGTATATAGAAAATATATCTACATATCTCCTATATTCGCAAGACTGTTTTTTTTTTTTTTTTTTTTCATAAAACCTATGCAATTTATTTAGTTTTAGATCCACGCATTATTTGTATTGTATAATGTATGTACATTCTTACAACAAAAAATAAAATTCCCGCCTGTTCCGAGGCGATTCAAGCTAAGCGATACGCCCTCTAGGGGTACATTTTATAACATGTGTAAATAAGCCGTGTTGCCGTTGTTATTAAAATTGTAACAAATCTATGACTATTCTATTAAAGTGGAATTCGGAAATATATAATTTCGATTATCATAATTTCAGTGACAAAAGTAACCGCTTGGAAATCTTAAAGTTGACACAATGTTAACCCATGGATCTTTCGAAATAAAGATGAGATATTAAATTATAGGGGGACTCGTGAATCGGCTGCATGTCTACCGTGATTGCACAGGTGCATACAACTCTACCACTAGTGGGGTGGCGCGCACTGTTCTGCCTATGTCTAATCAATGGCATCGCTCATTTTATATCATTTTTCTGACGTCATTGTATAAAACTTAACATACTGTACAGGAATAATGTCTTTTAAGTTGAACTTTTCCTATTGGTTCAAAATTCTAGCTAGGTATTACAAATAACTAGAATAAAGATATATAATGCTTGGCATTCTGTATTATACTCTTCACAGTTTTAACACACCCCTTAACCCCCTTTTTCAATCAGATTTTTTTGATAATCAAAGGCTTCATCCCCTTATGAAGCTTCATTTTTCCTGAGGATTTCAATTTGATATCGTTTTTTATTTCTGAGTCTTATCTAGGGTTGCCAACCGTCCTGCATTTCGGTTACGTCCACCATTTGAGTTGCATTGTCCAGTGTCCTGCAGCAACCTATTGCAGAACGCTTATTGTACTTAATTTCAGTGTTCGAAATAATATCTCCAATTTCTTATATTTTTTAGTCACATTATGGCATATGAAAAGATGATGCAAAAAGTGAAAAAAATATGATTTTAAAAGCAGTGACATAGTTAAGTTGATGTAACTTTTGTTTCTTTCTTTTTATGTTCTTTTTAAATAAGATGTTTAATTATTAATTAGTTCTTATTTATCCAAAGAATTCTTGTGTTTTTATAACTTCGTTTTTTTTTGTCGAATTAATTATTCAAGTTTGTTGTTGTTTTGCAATAATAAAAATGTCCAGAATTTATACCGTATGTCCTGAATTTCTATTACCCTCGTCCAGAAAAATTAAGAAACAAAGTTGGCAACGCTAGTCTTATCCCCCATTTTTATTAAATTTTTTTTCAGAATCGATGGTCTTCATTCCTTCATAGAGCTTAATTTTTACCAAAAATTTCATGTTGTTATCGCTTTTGGTGTTTAATTTCTATTTTTTTTTTATTTCAACCCCACTTAATCTTCTCATTTTGTTGACAATTTCTTTTAAAATCAATAGAGGCTTTGTCTCCTTAGAGAGCCTGCTTTTTTCTAAAAATTTCAAGTTGATATTATTTTTCTTTTTTAAGTTAGGATTTTTTAAATATTATTTTAACCCCTCGTCCCTTTTACTAACAATTTCATTTTATATCGCATTTCGTTTTTTATTTACGAAATTTTTTCAACCTTCCTCAACCCCTCATTGTTAGAATAGACTAGCTAGCAAGTGGCTTAGACCAAGATTAGTCGTTATGTTACCACTGAAAAAATCAGAATTCTCTAAAGTAAAATCTGTAACAACTAGTGATTATAAGCAACCAAATATTCTTGGAGGTTAAGCATGACAACTAGTTGCTGAGAAAGAAATATGGATCTTTGGATAATAAATACTTAAATATATCAAGAAATTAATAGGAGGTATTTTATAAGATATTTTTTTCTAATGATTTGTTTTAGGAATAAAGATAAATTTCAGCAAAGCCTTCTATTTATTGCTTGTAATCTGTAAAGTGTGTTTTCCTTACATTACTTAGGCCTCAATAGCCCCATTGTGCATCCTCCAGATGCTGCCTTTCAAAATTAATAGGAAGTATGTCTATTTATAAGATAATCGGAACATCATATTTTTTTCTTATGATTTGTTTTAGGAATAAAGTAAGACTTCAGCAAAGCCTACTATTTATTGCTTGTAATCTGTATCTGTAAGGTGTGTTCCCCTAACGTTACTTAGCCTTCAATATCCCCATTGCCTTTCAGGTGAGATGTCTATAGGGATGATCGACTACCTCTCAGATTGTCAAAATGCCTGCAGATCTGCTTGAGATAAAATTGCATAATACATACATTTTGCTGTATTAAAAGTTTTTTCAATTTCAAGCCAGTCCACCAACGAAATGTAACCATTTCCATATGATAAAATTACACTTCACTGCTTGACGTCCCGGCACTTCCGACTTGAAGGTTAAGTTGTTAAAAGCCTGATACTACACCACACTTACAAGTTGTATTATTTTTACAGCAACCGTATAACAACTTTGACAAAAGTAGCTATTCTAGTATTCACGGTCGCTATAAAGTTGTATGTGTGGTGTAAATCAGGCTTTTAACAACTTAACCTTTAAGCCAGGAGGGACGGGACCAATGAGGTTTATATCTCCCGGTCATTTGGACGTTAAATGAAATATAAGATCTTCTCCTTTGCCGAAAGTGTAGCACACTGAGCTACGCCACTTCTGAAAATATCGTTCCATTTATACAAATTGTATGGATGGAACAATATGTTCAGAAGTGCTACACTTTCGATGCAAAGGAAAAGACCTATAATTTATCATTTGGGACTTTTTATATTTTGTTGGTGGACTGATTTGAAATTTAATAAAAGTCATGTATGTCGTAGCTGTAAACTTTCATCAAGACAGGAAAATTTAATATGCAATTTTATGCAGACCTTTTGATGATCTAAGAGGTGGTTCCTATATACAGCTCTCAGTGACGTTATATATCAACCAGCAGACGTTTTGAAGAGCTGAGAGGCGGGTCTTAAATTCCCCTGAAGGATGCACAATGGGACTACTGAGGCCTAAGTGACATGGAGGGTCACCCCTTCTTACATATACAGACCACAAGAAATAGTATAGCATTTGCTGAAATCTTAC